TAACAAATATACATATTGTCAATAGAGTTCAAATAATCTAAATTATAGTTTTGTAACCAATGCTCAGCTATACACTGTACCACAAATGTCAATTTTATGTTTATGGAGGATATCGGAGAGGTATGTACTACTTGACATAATACCTGTTACATTCCAAGTTAAGACATTTATTGATAACAATGCACACTACTAAAACTATGCTTCACTGTGTCGGTATGATCGGCAGTCTCATGTGAGCCCCACTTTTTACAAATGATGCCTCGCGGCCAGAATCCCTTTTTTTTAATTCTGGATATGTCATCATTAGACTCGATATTCGCCTTTATTACTGCATTTTCCGATGAACGCTTAGAGGGGAACATACGTATCATCCTCTACTTGTAATGTAATTAGTCAATTTAGCCGGGATTATTGATGATTTAAACCCCAAATAAAGAAACTCTTCGACTTTTTAGCTGGCTTATGCATTTACACTACAAATTCATCTAAGTTATGTTCAACTATCCTACACTATTGTTATCAGTTTCACGGTGTGATTTTAACAGGGATCTTATTGTTACTTATACACTTTTCAAAATAGTTTACAGCAGGAGTATGATATGTTTGTTGTGTTGTTTTACTTTGCTTCTCATTTGTGTTTGTACGTTTATGTACATCATAATGCATGGCACTATCTATAGGAGAATGGACATCAGCCTCCCTGTAAGTTTCATTTGTTTTGGAGATAGATCATATCGGTTGACTTGGGAAGTAACGACCGACACAATACTTCACGATAGCGTGCCCTTTTTGGGAAGACACTTCATGCGGTTGACAAGTCGACTGTAGTATCTTCATCATTAGCAATGCTAGATTCATCATCAAGATCTTTTTCAGAAATTGATCTTTGTGAGACACTGTCTGACCGTTCATCTGAATTAGCATAGTTTCCCCTAGTTTTGCCTATTGACACAACTGGAGCACTCCTTACAAAGTTTTCCAGATTGTGTAGTCTTTCACACACATCTGTCAGTTTTATATCAAATTCTGTCATACCATTTATCACTTTTTCTGAAAAAGATAAAATTGACCTTTTTACAAACTCGGAGGTAATGTCTGCAATAGTCTTAACGTCAGCTCTAATAAACGATATCAGATGGGTGATATTGTTAATTTTGTCAGAACGTAGATTTTCATCTTCAATTCTTTCTTGTTTAAGCATCAATACTGCTGCTTTGAGCCCGGAAATGGCATCTCGTATAGAGGGAACATCTCTTTGGCCCGCACATTGATTTAAATTTCTATAACCATTACTTGGTATATTTTCAGATTTATCATTAACAGACTGTGACTTTGTTCTACCACGCGATGTGCTTACAAGGTCCTTCATGAAAGAGGAATCATCTCCTTTGAGTTCTGAAAGAACGAAATATATATCATTTGCAAGTTTAACACTCATATGTTCTCCTTGGCGTGTAAAAAGCTCGTCTCTTCATCTCTGCATCTCCACCGTACGGAAACTCTTCACATTCTCTTACAATGTCATAGACCATTGGTCTTGTATGATCTAACTTTTGTTCGTCTGATGCATAATCTAGTAGCAGACGAGACACAAATAAATCCGAAAGCAAATCGCTTCATAAACTTGATAGTCTATAATACTCATCAAGTTGCTCGGACTGACCACAGGGAATACTTGGATTAACTGTAGTTTGGTTACACGACGTGTTAACAATTAAAGAAACACGCTTTTGACAATCGTATCATCAAAAAGCTGAGATTAGACACAAGGCAAACCCTCGTATGATCACACTAAGTGAGACTATTATAACACTTCATGTTGTCCATTTTACAATACAAACACAATATAGCATTTAAGCCATTCTAATAGCATTATGTACAATTGAAATATGACAGGTCTATTTTTTATGCCCCCCCCCCCCCGAAGGGTGAGCATAAAGTCGCAGCTTTGTCCGTCCGTCCGCTTTTTTGTCCGGGACATAACTTTGAAAAATTCTGCATTGCCTAAAATTTGAATTATTGCCCTTTGTTTATTTTTACACTTTTAACTTTGTCCGGGACATAACTCTAAAACTATAAGAGTTATCAACATGAAACTTTGCAGATAGATAGATTCAATTTAGATTTGCAGTGCACAAGAATCGTTACTCTGCCACGCCTATTTTTTGAATTATTAGCCTTTGTTTATTTTTACACTTTGAATTTTGTCCGGGACAGAACTCTAAAAGTATAAGAGATATCAACATGAAACTTTGTAGGTAGATAGACCTCATTAAGTAGAAGTGCATTGTTAAAGAACCATAACTCTGCATTGCTTTACTTATAAGTTATTGCCCTCTATTTTTGCTTTTTGACTTTTGTCCGGGACATAACTCTAAAACTGTTAGAGATATCAGAAGAAAACTGTGTAGGTAGTTAGATCTCATTGGGTAAAACTGCAATGCTTAATAACCTTAATACAGCCTTGTCTAATTTTAGAGTTATTTCTCTTTGTTCATTATTTACACTATGAATTTTACCCGGGACATGAATCCGAAACTATTAGAGATGCCATCACGAAACTTTATAGATAGATAGATCTCATTGAATAGAAATGCAGTGCAAAATAAAACATAACTCTGTCTTGCCTAATTTTTGAGTTTTTGCCCTTTGTTCCTTTTTTTATTCCCTGTGTCTTAAATCTTCTCGGGGGAGCATCACCCGGTTAAACCGGTTCTTGTAACAGTTTGTTTATTTATGTTGAGAAATGCAAATATTACATTAACAAAGAAAACTCCAGTTTCTGAAGAAAATACTAAATTAATACATTTGATTTATCCTTGTGATATTAGCCATACCATTAGAGAAGGAATACATCCATAAAAAATCCACTATATTTTCTTTATGAACAGTTTAATTCCAGAAAGTCTAGGAGCTCAAAATGACACAACTTTACACCTTGACATAATAATCTAGTCACACTTCTTCAAATGCTTGACTACTATCCTGCGCATAGGTCGAATGTTTCACTAACGCTCATGTCTGAAGTAGCGTGAGAGTATTCAGTAAGCTGCTAAGGGAGTGTAAGGCTTGACAAGCTTGAAAGAGTGTTACTCTGATAAGTGCCAATATAAACTTCAATTTCAATGAATTGACATAAATTGTGCGGGTATTTCAACCCTCTATATATCTTTTCTTCACAACTCTTTAAAAATTCTGAATCTCGGAAGTAAATTTTTATTGATTAAATGATAATGACATTTTATAATCGAATCGTTGGAAATGATTATAGAATTAAGAAGTATCGGAATTCAGAATTATGCATAACATAGGACAATTAAACAATTTAAATGAGTTGAGTCAAATATCATTAGCTGTAATCAAAACATATTTCGATTTTAATTCTCTGATTTGCATACGATACATTAAAGTTTATTTTCTGACTTGTTATTATACAAATAAATGAATACTAGTTTTGCGTTGAAAAATGAATTTCTGTTTGTTAGAAGTTGTAGAGCAAGCTCAAATATCAGACCGATAATACATTTGCATTATATCAACTTTATATGGATATCAAGCATATGCAGTATGAAACGGACCAAATATATGAGAAGCACAAAAACCGGCAACGTAATGTAGATTACCTCTCCGTAGAAAACGATATAATATGTAAATAAAATAGAGACACAACGACTTAAAATTCCCATGGTATTAAATCTGCGGTCTCATCCCTTCAGCAGAAAAAGCAAAAATAAAGTTCTAGAAATACGTTATTTAACTTTTATACAGTATTAGCAATGATTTTGTTGGTGACATTGAATTGTAAGTTTTTTTATAATTGTTAATTGTAGATGATATACAGAGATAAAATGATGTAAACAACCTTTTTATATGCTTTTCGGTGGTTTATAGAACTATATCAGTGAAATAAAAACTGATATATGTAATTTCACTGTTTTAACAGTGAAATTATAAATTTGATAATTTCACTGTTTTGAAAATTTGAGACCGGTACGTTGTTTCGAGGAAATACAAGCGTTCATGGTATTGGAAACGAACTTAATGACGTGACGTCGTAAATGACGTCACGTTGTAAAATTATTTGTCGCCCTATTTTTAGTACTAGGTTAAAATGTCTTTTTAAACGTTTCTTTGCATAAAACAAAAAGGAAATTTAGTTAGTTTAATGTAAGATCGAAATATATTTTACCTAGTGAACACCAAAAGTTCATATTGCACTCGAGGCTGCGCCACTTATGAAATATACCTTTAGGTGCTCACTCGGTGAAATATATTCCGATCTAAGACTGAACTAAACAAATATCCTCTATATCAAAACTTTTTATATGACTCAAGAAAATCAATAAACGCCGTTGAGAGCAGCAGAATAATTTGTGTTTTTCTTTGCTTAGGACTAAAAAGGAAAACAGTAGGTTTTCATTTACATATTTAAAATTGAAAGATCAGGAAACTGTTAATCTTGTTAACTCGTCTCTGTTATCTCGCTAACATTGATTCCATTTTATACTATCATTGTCAAACTAGCATTTTGCTATATATTTGTAGTTCCCAAAAACTATCCGTCAAAAGTTACCACAGTTGATGTCGATTAAAGAAACAATTGCGCAAATAATTGAACGGCAAGGACATTAATTAAAATCATGCTTATACTTCATTCCAATCTTACATTAACTCTCAAGTCAGAGGAAGTTATGATTATCATTAGTTTGTTTTGAAAGTATTACACATTGAAGGTTTAGCATTTATTTCATTTTCAATTATTTTTCCTCTTAAAGGGATACTTGTCACTGGTGCTCGTAAAATACGTGTAGAAGAGTATTTGCATGTTTGACCCAATTTGTTGCCTATGTATTAATAATTATGTGTAAAAAAGATTTCCTTAAATTTACAAAAGGCGTATGGAAAATAATGTTCATGTTACAGACAATTGTTTGAACAACTGTATTAAATAATGTTTGTATAAATTATTCATTCTTCTCTATCTACAGTATCCTAAATAACTCAACCAAGGAAAACAAAACCAAATGGTTTTACCATTAATTTATTTAAGTTTAATGTTTATTGACTTTATATCTTATTCAGGCGCAAAACAGCCAATCCACTTGCTAATTTTACATCAACTTTATAAGGTTATATTTTAATGGAATATTTATTATTTAACTTATTTACTGAAACATGAAATATGATTAATGAGAAAATTATTGAAGAAAGTATTTAAGTAAAACACAACAGTGAAAATGCTTCTTAAATATGATAGGAACTGCACAAGGGGATATAACAATTGTTTTTATTTTAGTTCTATTTTCTATCGCCCATTGTGTATATATTGTCCATTTATAAGCGTGTGTATAAACTATGTGTAAGGCTGTAAACTCGTCGATCTTCCATTGTATGAATAAGAACACACAGCACATGTCAGCTCCCAACCATTTTTATATGGATCGCATCGTAGTGAACCACAGTCGCCTTCAACAAAATAAAACAGTTTCCCATCCCTATCCTGATGTGTTCCCTCTAACGTTTCGGGATTTCCATCAACACACACAAATTGAGAGGATGAAGCATGACTGTAGTGCCCAGCCATAAGATAGCCTTTATATTCCAATATGTAGTTGTCATGACAACGATTCTTTCCCGGCACCATTATAACGTTATGGCGTGGTATCCGACAAACAGCACATGGAATATCATGGTCATGAAGATACGTCCATCTCGGATATCCATTTGTTTCATATTCTGCTCCATATATCCTAGTTGCTTGAAAACCATCGGTATGCTCATCAAAATCTGGATCTTTTGGCAGACATAATGGATTGGATGCAGTTCCACTATGAGACTGATGTGATCCAGCAACGTAGCCGTCGTACACTAGAACGGCTTTACTAGGACACGTGGTACGACCCCAGCGTATATATGTGGCACCATCAGATAATTTCTGGGTCTTTGTTAGTGTGTTATTCAGATTTTCTAGTTTTTGTTCAGCATCTGAAATTTATAATAAAATAATTATAAATTGTTTTTATAACATTAAGGATTGGCTCTTAAAAACAACACTACATTAAATGATGACAGTATATTTAGCGGTACGCGTCCATATTCATCATAAATTTTATGAAAATATTCCTTATGTTTTTAAAGTAAAATATTTTGAAAAGGACAAAGAAATAAATTTGCACATTGCAAACGGCACTTACTATCCACGTATAAATGTGCAAAATTGGCCTAACTGCGTTAGTAAGGCAGTAGAAATATAGTGATAAATACTGCAAAATCAGTCATCACCCCATATAGAATATAAATTATTGCTTGAATCTTGAATCGTTTTATTTTTCTCACAATCGATCTATGTACGTTTTTATCATGTTAGTTTTGTTGTGTTAAAAATCAATATTGCTTTTTTTTATTTTACACATTAGTTACTTAACGAAGTTTGTGTGTAGTTTTTTTTTATTTATATTGTCATAACAAAACATTGTATCGCTATTATTATTTTTTCTATTCAAACAATCAAACCTGCTAGTTTTGCGGCTAATATAGCAATTTTCTTATCATGTTTTGGTGATCTATCTAAGGCTTGAAAACATGGTGTTTAAAGTGTTTTTTTATACCATACACATTTAAAGGTGGTTACCCGCAATCGGCGTATTTGGAATGCATTATCCCATTTTACATACTTATGTTGGACTCTATCTTTGCGCCATGATATTCGACGGCCATTGTATCTATATTATAGTGCATCCAATGTGAAAAAAAATAGATGAGCTATACAGTGAGTTTATAATTGATCAATTTAGTGATAAACTACTTTGACCTTAAAAAGCGCATACTTTAAGAGAACCAATTAAAGTAAAAGGTGAAAGAGTTATCCAAACTAAGAACATCATCGTTGATCCTGTAAAATATCTCAATTGTTGGTTTAGGTGTGTTCCAGCCTTAGCAGTTAACTTTATGAAATAGAAAAAATGATCAGATAATGTCAAGACAGCACAAAACCTAGGGAAATATCTGGCAGCTAATATTCAATACTTGACACCTGCCGGGTGAGATATCCATCCAATCGTCCAAAAACACTAATGACATTTGGCAAAAGGTTTCATTTCAAAAATATATAACCCTTCACGGTCGTACTATTTGGTCATATTAAGTATGCCTGTTTATTTCAAAAGTCGAAGTATTATGGTCGCTGGCTGCGTAGTTGTCGTCGTCACCGTGCACAACCGTTAATGTAGCCCATGATTTATAAATTTTAAGAAGACACCAATAGGAAAAGATTACTTTTTGCTTATCTTGACACTGGTAAGTTGCAGGGCAATTGAAATTATTCTGAAATATATATTTTAGAGTTGTGGTCCTTTGAAGTTTTTTTTTTTCTGTGTGTGTCATATTTGACTTTTAAAAGGCATCAATTTACTATAACTTTGAAAATAATCATCACAGAACTTGGGCTTTTTGTTTCATTAAGGCAAACGTGTAAGGCAAATGAAATTATTCCAAAAGTTGTTTTCCTTTATCAATTCTCATTTTGAATAACGATCTGTAAAGAATGTTTCATCACTTATGCTATAATTTCAAAACTAAGGTAGCCCACTATTTTAATATTTAAAAGCAATAAATACGATACGTGAAGTATTTGCTAACCATGGCAATGTGCGATTTGGTGACAAGTGGTTTAATTATTATACATTTTAGAATTAATTAAATATGATGAAAACAAAAATTTAATATGTAACATAGGGCACTCGTTTATCGTGAAACATAAAAGTTGAAAAAGGTGAATTATCACACTTACACTACATGCATTTGTATTAAATTGGTTGTAACATATTTCCAGCTAAATGGAAACAAATGGTTTATTCTGATATAATGAAAATTAAGATATAGAAAAAGTTTTACATTTATTGTATATTTGATCATTATATAATAATTCAAAACGCAATAAACAAACTAAAAAAATCATTTCGAAATACCTCAAACTTAACTAGAATTATCAAACATGTTGAATAATACATTCAGTTCTGAATTTCCAATATGGTACACATTTTGGTGATTAAATGTTAAAAGTATGCTGCAGAAATAAGATGATCCACCTTTAACTTCTTTAACTTCACGTTCAAAACTTCCTTTTTTCAAAATATACTAGGATACATTCGTCTTTTTTATTCACGACAGACAGCCACAATAGCAACATACTTATTCTATCTACTGAAGCTTAAAAAGACACATTGTAAATTTAACTTAAAAAAGATACCAACTAACAAAAGAGAACGTAAACTTTTATCTTATTCATTGTTAGAAAAAAGGTGACCAAAGCTATTCACCTAAAGAGGAGATATAACTTCAAAATAACAAATATTTAGCATTCTTTGGAATATATTTGTTCATAAATACTTTTGTTAATAAAAGAAAACTGTAAAATAAAAGTATCAAAAAGCTAAGCAAAAATGTCTTTTTTTCACATCGAAAACAAAATAACATGTATACGACTTTACAAATAATGATCGTATACCGAATGTCTTCACTTTTACAATAAGAGTGTTAAAACGCCACTGAATGCAATAAGTCTGTGAAAAATCAATAGCTGGTGTTGTCAATTATCAGTTTATCTTCCTTTTAACTGAACTGAAATGTTATTAAAGAATTCCCTGGCATAATATAGCCACGGTACTGCAATGTAGTTTTCAATATTTTATCATATCCGTTTACGCGAGAAAAATAGGGATACAATCTCAATTATTTAATGGCTGTCAATGTGAGTATTTCCATGTACTTCTAAAAGCTACATGTAGCGACTATGAACCTAATCATTTGATATGTTGCATGTAATCAATGGTATTCTCTGTTGACATAGAAACATATCGTGTACATTTTACAAGGAGTGTAGAATGTCATGTGAATGCGATAGAAAAAGTTAATTTCCTTGCACTTTCTGAAAAACTTACACATACAACAAAACCTAACAAGAGGCAATTGTAAATAAAAAAAGTATCTCAGCTGTGTCATAATTTTCTGTCAAGTTCTTGATAAGAATTTAAGCATAATTATATGAATGATCTTTTATTTGTTGTGGTTTAATTGTTTGCAAACATTATTTACCCCATGACGATAATGCCAACACATGTAATGATCTTATCATTTGGAGCAAATTTGTGCGCTTTTGGAGGAATATTTAATCTTAACTA